TCATCCATAAACATTTTTTTCCTTAATCAAATATTTATGGAAACCATTTTCATCAATAATCAATCAAAATGTTCAAACCATGCTTCCAATTTTACATGCTCAAATAATTTCAAAAGTGGTGTACCCACTCACCTCATAAAGTCGACCTCTCTAATCAAATACGAATCTACTCCAGCAATACCATTGAAGTTTCGATCGTTCCTAAACATTCAATAACTTTTATCATTAATAAGTAGTCTAGGAATCAAGTACTAAGCATTCTAAGCTCTTTCAAATCTATTCAGATTCTTCTAAAACTAATTTACCAGCTTAAGTTCACTATTATACAAGTACCATGTGTAGAAAATTCATAAATCCATCATCCTTACCTTAGGTGAGCTCTAAACAAGTAGAAAATCCATCCAAGGTTCTTTGTTTGTGGAAATCAATAAATTTAGAGCAATACACAATGTTTTCAAAATTAAAAACCCAAGTTTTAAAGGTTTCAAGAGTGAAAAATATCTTCTTTTCTTTTAAAACACAGAACCAAGCTCAAATCTTTCAAAAATAGTGATTTAAGAGAAAAAAAAGGTTAAGACAGCCTTACAAAAGAAAAGAATACCTCTAAAAATCGATTAAGAGCTAATAGCCTTAATTGAAAGTGAGGTATTTATAGTTTAAGGCATGAAAATAGCTTTCTATCCTCATATATTTTCAGAAATCGATGTCATCCAATCGATAGATGAGGTCATCTATCGATGGATGCCTTTCAGGATTTATTTTGAAAGCTTTCAAGTTTTTATTTATCGATAAATGCCATGCATCTATGAATATATAGGCTCATCTATTTATAGATCTATCAATGATGAACATTTATCAATAGATCTTCTTTGATTTTCTTAGAAACTTTTCTAGGTTTGTATCTATTGATAAATGAAGAATATTTATTGATAAGTAAACTTAAATAACAAAAATTAAACTTTAAAACTTGTCCATTTGGATTCCTTTTTTCATCAAACTTTGGAAGACATCTTAGTATCTCAAAACACAACTTTTCTAAGTTTAAAACTCAATTTAAAAGCTTACAGTAGGAGACATACATGCTCATTTAAGGATTTTCTAACTTAACATCTTATACTAGGGTCGAATTTCATACATTTGCAAGGAATGAATGCGTCTACAACCTTTCCATGATGTTCGTAGATCATATGAAGCCAATTGGGGTTAGTTTTTAGTGGTATATTGTTGAAAAAGGTTGTAACTGCCAAGGATTGGGTCTGGCTCTCCACTTATATCAGTGAGCCATCACTATATCGATAGAGCCAAAACTATTGTGAGTTTTCTTTTTTCATTGATTTCTTAGGGATATAGTTTGCAGACTATTGTTACAACAAATAGTATTGTAGTTTGAACACCACAATTGAAAGATTGAGGAACAAGAACTTTTTCACAAAACATCTTACATATTTACTCTAACATCTCACAAAACCAAGATAAGATTGGCATACGATGTGTATACCTTTTTAGTGAGAGATTTGGGAAATTCTTTCAACTTTTAAGTCATTATCTAAACCTTACAAACCTAATGTTCCCACAAACTTCAAAGAAGTCCCTTAGCATTTCCTATCTTACCATCAAAGAGTTTATATTTAAGGCTAATATAGTTTTTAAGATAAGACTTGTCTACTATACTACGTAAATGAGGAAGTTTTAAGCTCAAATTTCATTCTTCTTTTCCAATAGGTTTAAAAGCTCCTCCTTTGTAAAAATGGGATATGAGGTTACAATTGGCTTGGGGATAAGAGTATCAATGTTGAAGGTTAAGATGTTTCCAATATGGATTCTAAAAGCATACGCATTATCCTTGTAGTGCCTTCCTTCTCTAAATCAACAACATGAGGTTGTACCTCTTCATCGTTGTTAAGACCAAGGTCTACAACACCTTCTAAAGCATCAGGTTGATTTTCAGGTGTAATCACTACGTGAGGGAGTTAGGAGAAAGTATCCATCATCTTTTAGATATTGTACTCTATCATCTTGTTTTCAATATTTTCTCTCTTGGGTGGTTTGTAACATTTTCATCTATGCATGCATATGAGAAGATACCTCATGTTGATAGTTGGTTAATTCTTCCATGTCTTGTTAGCTAAAAATAAGAGGCATCAATTACTTTGTGTAATCATCCTTTTTCAGTGAAGTTGGCAAAATGTGAAGGGTTCTTTTCGTAAGGTAAAGGTAGTGTCGCATTGTAGTAATGGGATGGATAAGTAGGAGAAGAGAAGCAAAAAGGTAGAGTAGGCAATGCAAAAGAGCCATGGTACAATGCCAGTGACCAAAAACTGAGCAAGGATGGACAAAAGAAGCGTACGTAGTGCAAAGAAGGTACTTCACAATAAGAGATGGATATAAGCATAATGGATACCAAAAAAAAAAAAACAAGGTTAGAGAGAGACTATTTAACGAGAAAAGCTTTAAATAGAGTCAATGTTAATGTCTCGAAAAATTTCCTTTCACATTATTAAGAAAGATTATTTGTAATGGTAGAGAATTTCATGGTCTAAGAAGAAAGTTATAATTGGTAATAAAATAACAGAAGTAACTTCAAAATATTAAAATACCTTATGTAAAGGTCGATGTCACATGAGAAGCACATGGCTTTGTAAAAAAGATTAAGAAATAAGTGTTTCTTAACGAGTTCTACTCTGAGCCACTAAAACTTGAACTCTCTTAAATATCCCAAATTAATAGATTTAACTTTAGAATCTAAATAAATTAAAACCAAATATTTAAGAATTAATTTATAAAAAAAAAATCATATAGAAACAGCAAACTTATATGATGACAAAATCATGAATTGACAAGAAACAGTACGTTGCATTTCAGCTTTATTAAAATGGCAGTCAACACAAAGCTAGGAAACTTAGCAACGTCAGAAATTTAAAACTTAGGGACACAAGTAAAGCAGGGGAAAAAGTGAAAACGCTAGCATTTCTCAGGGAGGGAAAGGAATGTTATGTAAGCTTTACTTCACTAATTTGTTTAGCTATTGGAAATTAGTAAAGGCAAAAGCAGTTTGTCAAAAAGAGAGAAGACCTGCAACATTTAAAAATAGATCATAGAGGGGTTTCAAGGTAGTTTTGTTAGTCAATATCGTGTGAGTTTGAGTTTGAGTTTGAGTTTGTATAATAATAATAACAATAATAAAGCATTCTTTTCTTCAATCTCAAAAGAGAGTGGAACTAAGAGTCAAGATCTTTTTTTCCTACCAATGGCACGTTTATTCCCTAAATGATTTTTCAGTATATTTAATGTAAGGCAATACATTGTACTCCTACATATCCATGCATTCCAGACAACAAGCAGACAAAGATGCCCATGAAAATGAAGCCTCTGGACCTTCTGGCCATATGGAATTTTTCTCATAATTCTTTAGTACTTGCGCTTTTAGTGGCTTTGCAATGTTCAAATCAGTCCATCTCTTGGCATTCCTTCGTCCACGTACAGGATTTAATTAGCAGGAAATGATTGTTTAATCTAATCTTCATCGGCCAGATTGAGACAATTGGAAATTACCGAGTTCAATCATGACACCGTAAATGCATCAGACAGCTGCTGTAGACCATGCAAGTGAGGTGTTTGTAATCCATGGAAAAAGTTATCTTTCGTTAGTTTTGACTTATATTCTGATGAACAGGCAAACACATCTGTTTGCAAACCTTGAGCTAAAATCACCCGGATGTGGAAGTCCTGTTAATAATCAATTTCCATTGCACCATACACTCCCTGATGGGATTTATTATAGTCAAACAAGGAATATAAGTATGAGAAAGCCTTAAGGCGAAGATATTGACCTACTTTTGAAATTTTTGAAGGTTTTTGAATGATCCCTTGGCATTGAACTCTTGTAGAGGTTTTTTCCTCCTGATGAACAAGAGGAAGAAAGAAACAAGAGGACTTTTTATGACAAAATATCACATTTTAAAAAGTGAATTCATCCCAACACTTATTCTCACACTTTTAACTATAATTAGAAAAATGCTTCCCTGCCAGTGTCATAAACTCAGTGCTTCAATTACTTCCCTTGCAATTCACTTCTTTATTCCTTGTTCCTCAGCTTAATGCCAAGCAATTCTGTGAAGCAATCTGCATTCATAAGCTAAGAATACCTAGGTTGACAGGATGTAGCAGTTAAATCCCCTTTTACTTAGGAACATGAAATAATTTTCATCATGTAGATATACATCCAGGAAGAAATGGATATTGGACAGACAACATTTGGGCACATGGGCATATATATGATGCCCATTGGAATGATTATGACAATGAATTCTTCCTTGACTTTGTGAAGAATGGAAGTGTTCAAGGTCAAAAGTTGACTGGATGTTACTTCTGTTGGTTAGATTGGCTTAGAAGATCTTGTGAGATTTTCTCAAGATGTCTCTGATTTAGCATTGAATGTGGTCGTTATCAATGTTTTTGACCCTATCACTGCAAAAGAAGGAAAACAAAAAAGGGGAAACGGAAAACATGAATCTTCTTTTTTGCTCTCTGAGATTGAATTCATTAAAATTAAAGCCTACTAGGCAAGATTTTTCTAGAGTTACCCTATCTAGCCCTTCTTTCCCTAAAGAAGTGATAAACCAGTATAACATAATCACAAGGAAACTGGAATCAACCTTTTGACCTATGATGACAAAAATACCCTGACTTTCTACTGATAACAAAGTTCTTTATACTTGTATAATCACCATGTCTTGCATTATATATTACTTAGCCATTACAACATTAAAAAAGTAGATGAATAAGCATCCCAGTCATTCATGTAAAAAAGGCAATAATGAGGATTTGCAACCTGACGCAAGGAGGTTAGGCCCTAAGGTCATTCTGGGGATTAAGGAAACGTTTTGATTAAGCTTCTTGCACAGCAGGTGATCCTGCCTAACATTTTATATCTGACAAAGCAACCAATAGAGCATATATAAAGAGTTCCACTACCAAGGTTCTATAGAAAAGCAGTACATTCTTGTACAACCCTTCAATCACTAGCTAACCATGATTTCCCTGGCAGATGTCTATCATGTTGTCGCAGCCACTGTCCCGTTGTACTTTGCCATGATTTTGGCCTACACCTCTGTGAAATGGTGGAAGCTTTTTACACCAGAACAATGTGCAGGCATAAACAAGTTTGTAGCTAAATTCTCAATCCCGCTATTGTCTTTCCAAGTGATCTCAGAAAACAACCCCTACAAGATGAACCTGAAACTCATACTTGCTGACTTTCTTCAAAAACTACTAGCCTTTCTGTTTTTAATGGCCATGGAAAAGTTCAGCTCCCGGGGAGGTTTACCATCGATCATAACTGGCCTCTCTCTATCAACCTTGCCGAACACCTTAATCCTGGGAATTCCGCTGTTAAGGGCCATGTATGGAGATAAATCAGCTACACTCTTAGCTCAGATAGTTGTCCTACAAAGCTTGATTTGGTACAATATACTGTTGTTTCTGTTTGAGCTAAACGCCACAAAGGCAGCCTCTGAGACACCACCTTCACAAGACTCAGGTAGACATCCAAACTTTGTATTGCATATAAACATGGATTAATTTTATAAGCTTGAGCTTTTATCATCTAAAACTTCAATTAGAACTCCCAAAAATCAATGGGGTTGATTGAATTTCAAGCTAGTTCAGTCAACTTTAGTAATGAAAGAGACATCAAGTGTCCATAATGCATATAGGTTTCTCTCCATCTCTCTTTTGCAATGAGGTCTCTGTACATCTCTCTTTTTCTTTTCTTTTCTTTTCTTTTCCTTTTTTTATGTTTTCTTTTTCAGTTAAATTTTCTTCATTCCTCTTGCACGTGGATCACGTAAGATCCTTCGGATAAATATGGCCAGAATTATAAAATTGAGAGATAGAATAATGTATACTGCATGTGGCATAATTAATGGCATTTTCGTACCAAGAATGACTACTAAGCTATGATTTTGATTTCTGAATAAAAGGCCTTCTTCTATATATTATATTCTTGCTGTTATTTTTTCTGAATTAAGGTGACCTAGAGGCCCCTGAAGAAGCACAAGCGAAAGAGGGTGGAGAAGAGGCACACACCAGACCAAGGAAATCGAAGGCTATGCTCATTTTATTGACAGTGGGAAAGAAGCTCATGGCAAATCCTAATACCCATGCAACCTTGCTGGGTCTTATTTGGGCTAGCGTACAATTCAGGTAGGGCTTACAGAAGGAGCATTAGAGAAAATTTTAAACCCAGATATGTGATTTTCATCTTGATAAGGATCATTGGTAATTGATAACTTTCTTTATCTTGTAGGTGGAACATAAAATTCCCAGCCATTATTGAAAAATCAATAGCAATATTATCAAGCGGAGGACTTGGCATGGCTATGTTCAGCTTAGGTACGATTACACACCCAGTCGCATCTATATATTTTGGTTCAATTATCCATCCTCCATTCCCTTTCTGCAACTCCTAAAATCCCATTCTACAAGGGGGTAATACTTGAACCATGAGGCGGAAGCAATCATATTTACCTAATCAATAATTTGTTACACATCAATTCTAACCCCTGCTGGTGTCACTTAACAGGTCTATTTATGGCGTCAAGGCCGAGCATAATAGCATGTGGTATTCGAAAGGCAGCAGTAGCCATGGCAATGAAATTCATGGCAGGTCCTGCTCTGATGGCAGCATCCTCTGCTGCCCTCGGACTTAGAGGCAAAGTATGGAGAGTGGCAATTGTGCAGGTTAGTCAATTTTATTATTCATTCAATCCGGCAATCAAGGATGAAAGCTAAACAATATGATGTACATTGCAGGCAGCTCTTCCTCAAGGAGTCGTGCCATTTGTTTTCGCTAAAGAGTACAACGTTCATCCCGATGTCTTGAGCACGGGGTAAGTATTTCAACACTGTCTTATTATTGGTTTTTCTCCTTAAATGATGAGGTTTGCTTCTGTTGGCTTCAGGGTAATCTTTGGCTTGCTCATTGCCTTACCTGTAGCATTGGTCTACTACCTAATTTTAGCAGTCTGAATTCCGGGAGAATTCTGCTCAGTTGTTCCAGAAACAGTAACTTCTACACCTGACATCAGTTCTGGGGAAGGGTCAAAACTTGAATAGATGGATGTAGATGTCCAATTCAGTTTTCTGAAAATTCTTTGACATTGTTGATTGGTTCCCGGGAAGAAAAACTATATTTATACAAGTTACATTTAACATGCTTGCCGAGTTAAAAGCCAAAAGCTATTATTATTATTATTATTATTATAGCTTTTTACTTGTTTTCAATTTGAGAAAAACAACAGAATTAGCATTGCTGAAGCTAACTCTTTTATCATCTGTTTGAGATTGCCTGCAACATGAATACCAGCAAGCTGATCATCAGCTCATAACAATTAAAATAAGTCATAGGCATTTTAAGTTCTTTCATTCCATCTCCAAATCCCCAAGTTCTGCTAACACCCTGCCAATTCATCCGACATTTTCCCCTCGTGGGTATTGTGTTGTCAAATTTACATTTCATCTCAGTTCCACGTGACCAACGTTTTAATTTCTATTAAATTTGAGCAAATAAGATTAGATTTAGGTTGCAAGTAATACACGCATTTAAGTGCTCATACATGAATGCAAATGTGATGTGAATGTGTGCATTACCATTAGCTAATGCTGCAGGTTGTTTTTTTTTTTTTTTTCTTCTTTGTCTTATATATTTTTGAAGATTCGATAGATAGATTACTGTCGTTCCCACAAATAAGATTACTCCTGTCTGTAAAATGCTTAAAACTGTCCACAATTTGTGCATAATGAACGTGGCCAACTAGTCTCCATGTGACTGCTAAAAGCATCGGATGTGTTTTTTTTTTCCCCTTTTTGCAGCATATTTCATTGAGATTTCAGAATATATTCATCAAACAACTACCATGCAAGCCTCGCAATCTACACGCCCTGTAATACCAAATTTTGGGCTTACTTCTCTGTTTCTGAATTTAACATCTAATGCGTTCATATTTATCATCCAAACCAATTCATAAATATTACTTATATAAACAAATGGTTAGTTTCATCTATACCAGAAAATCAACTTCCTAGTCCTACACTACATGCATAGTTTTAATTCAATAATAATATCAATTTTTTCCGAAAACCAACATTTTCAAGAAATGTTATCTAACAATATGAAATTTAGAAACAAAATCTAATATTACAACTGTTATTATAAAAAAACATAGAGTGGATGACTCAATTATGATAAAAAGAAATGTATAATATTTAAACAATTTCTTAAATTATTTTAAAAAATTTAAATAAACTCTTATTCTTTTATTATATTCAATCAAGCACTTATACTTTTATTTTATCAAAATACCTCAACAGTCCTTATACTTATTCATTTTCTTTGCTTTAGTCCTTCAACTTAAAATCGTAACAATTTAGTTTTTTAATTTTGAATATTGCTTCAATTTAGTTCTTTTAACATTTTCCTTTCAAAATTTCCCTTCACAAAGCTGATATGCCATGTGGCACTAACATAATAATGTAGATATGCCATGTAGCATGTCAAAGAGGGCATCACATGTCACACTCTCCATCAACACCCATCCATGTCATGCCATGTGGCATGTCCAAAGGTGACATATGGCATGACAAGAGAGTGATACATGTCTCCTATTTTTTTCTAAAAATATTATGTGTTAGCACAATAAGCTCCTTATCACCTACTCTAAACCCTCACCATTTTTTATATACTGCCTTTGTTTCTTTTCTTCCTTTCTTTCCTCTTTTTCCTTTTTCTTTTTTCTTCTTTTTCTTTCTTTACCTTCCCCTTTAAGGATCGACCGCCAATCATTGAACGTCATCGTCAACCGTCGATCGTCAATTGTCAGTCAACAGTCACTGGACATGTCATGCCATGCCACGATTGCGATCAGTGGCTATCAACTGGCAACTGACGACAACATCTGATAACTAGCGACTAGTCCTTAAGGGAAAAGGTGAGACGAGAGAGAAAGAAAAAGAGAGAAAAAAATAAAACAAGAAAAATGGAAAAGAGGAAAAAAAAAAGAAAAGAAACAAAAGTAATATATAATCAAAGATAATAGCTTAAAGTAGGTAGCAAGGAGCTTATTATGCTTATTTAGAGAAAACAATGAAAAGACACGTGTCGTTTTCTTATCATGCCATGTGTCACCCTCCGAACATGCTATGTGGCATGACATAAATGGGTGTTTAAGGAAAGTGTAACACTTGATGCCTCCTTAACATGTCACGTGGCATATCTACATCAGCATGTCAATGCCACATGACACTGCCACATTAGCATATCAACGTGATATGACACGACCACGTCAGTATTTTCAATTTACCTCACATGCCACATCAACAAGCAATGCCATGTTAACATCATATCAACAATGGCATTAGCTTTGTGATGTGTAATTTTGAAAAAAAAAATTAAAAAGATTAAATTGAAGTAATTTTTAAAATTAAGGGACTAAATTGTTACGATTTTGAGTAGATAAACTAAAATTAAAAAAAAATACATGAGTACAGGGACTGTTGAAATATTTAGATTATTTTTATTTTGAATCAGATAAATTCTTACGATTAACGATTGACTATTGTTGTTAATTAAAATACTAGTTATTATTTTATATCATTTACTGCTAACATAGCATGTTGACGTATAATAATAGATAGTGATATGACATGTTAATATATCATAACAGTAACATTTTTATTATGTAAGTCAACATCATATGAATATAAAAAGACCAATAGCATCTTTATTAAATAATTGTTATTTGTTAGTCAATCAATAGTTATAAAGTCCTATTTAACTCAAAATAAAAAATTTGAATGAACATAATTAAAAAATAAAAATTTATTTAAATTTTCTTGAATATGTGAAAAGTTTTTTTTAAAACATTATGGTTAATAAAATAAAATAGAAAAAAAAATGGACTAAAGCTGTTAATTTGTCATAAAAGTTATATTTGTTAATTAAGGGGTAACTGGAATGAAATTTATTAGTGTAAAATTGTGAATAAATGGGCAATTAGACTAGCTCCATAGACGTGATGTCATTTTCATATAATTAACTTTTTCGGTGGCAACATTTTACATCAATTCCTTTTTGTTTCACAATTTCTAATTTCTAAGTGGAAAATACTATAGACATCCCAATATTCTTCAAATATTTAATTTAATAATCCTGAAACCCAAAAACACAAAAAGCTTTGTCTTAATAATTTACATAAACATCTTATTACCATTTCATTGTTATGATAATAGTAATAAGAAATAATAAAGAAAAGTCCATTTCTTGTCTGTCAATCAGGAATCAACGGTGAAGACATCAAGAAACCGATTCACCTCCAACATCCGACGGCCCACCTTTTTGTCCTACAATAAAACAATATTTTAACCAAAACCCCAACCCCCAAAAAAGGATGGTGAAATTAGGGTTTTTGGCTCCTGCTATTTATTTCTCCACCTGTACTTTCCTGCTCTCTTCTCTGTTTTTCTATCACATTCTTTCCGAGAATTCTATTTCCAAAAACGAAAAATCATGGGCAAGGGTCCAGGTCTCTACACTGACATCGGCAAGAAAGCCAGAGGTATAAAAGTTCAATTTTTGAACTAAGAAATTCCAATTTTTATACATATTGTAATTTAATTTTAAAGCTGTTTTCCCTTTTTCAATATTTTGGGACTTTACAGATCTTCTTTACAAGGATTATCAGACTGACCAAAAGTTCACTCTGACCACCTTCTCTCCAACTGGAGTTGTAAGTTTTCTTTTTTTGCTTTGTTGGTTCAAGTTTTGGTTTCATTTCTGGGTTGATTTTATTTTTGCTCAAAATTTTGTTTTTGTATTAAAGAATTAATTGCGGATGCTTTACTTTGGTGAACCAAAGTTTTGAGTTTTGTGGCATTTTATGATATTGTTGTGATCTTTTTTTTTTTTTGGCTTTCTTTTGGGTTTTTTCAGCCTTATCAAATGCATGTGTTATTTGTTGTAGTGACCAAGTGCTGATTTTTACATTGTTTTTGGAATTTGTTTATCTGTTAGTGTAGAGTTTTGTTCATAAGATGAAAGAATGTTGATTAAAGCTGACTTCAATTACATTATCAGATTTGTTCTTCAAAGATACATGTTTTACTTTTTTTTGGGATTTTTTGAGTTTGTAAGTTGTTATAGTAGCTGATTTCAGTGCATTTCTGGCTGTTATTTTTTAATGCTCAAATTATTGAAGGATTATATTTGATAATTTTAGCATGGTTATCTTATTCTTTTGACTGTAATGCATCATGTAAGATGTTCACTTCTCCATCTGCTACAAGGACTTTAATGGATTCTTTGGCATTGTGGGTGGTTTATCTTCTCTTTTCCTTTATTTTAGGCAATTACCTCTGCTGGAACAAAGAAAGGTGATCTCTTTGTGGCTGATGTTAACACCCAGCTGAAGAATAGGAATGTCACAACTGATATCAAAGTGGACACTAGCTCCAATGTAAGTATTTCATCTATTCTTTTGTTGATTTCTAGTTTATTGATGTATAAGTTTGAGTGCTTGGTAATTTTCTTTTTGCAAGTGAGATCTAATGTTATTTGCTTCTATTAGATATGCTTCAGCTGTTTCGCTTTTATAAAAATGTTTTTAAGAAAATTAGTTGTTTGGCTCATCCCTTCTTCATTCCAAACCTCTGCTTTAACTAGTGGAAGGTGCTTGATAAAATTATATAGAATACCATATTTGAGGAGCATTATGTACCTGATAAAATTATATAGAATACAGAGGAGCATTATGTACTTTTGACATCTGAACTCTTTGGAGGGAATGCTGTCCTGTTGAATGATTGCTTTGGTTGACTTTGTAGTTCACCTTTCTCCCCATAGTGTCCTTTTCCATTGAATTTATGGGGCTGCTATCTTTTATAAGCTCTTTTGTTGAACATTACACATTTTACTAAACTAGTGTTCATTTGTCAGCTCTTTACCACCATAACAGTTGATGAACCTGCACCCGGTCTGAAGACAATCTTTAGCTTCAGAGTCCCTGATCAGAGGTCTGGCAAGGTTAGACAATGCTGTCTTCAAATTTCAATTTATAGCCTCAGAAACTTCCAATATCTTGGTTTTGCTTTGAAGCTGTAGAACATGTGATAACTACCTCTAGCATGGTTATGGAACCTGTGTTACTTAAAATGTTTCATGATGGTGATGACCAATGTTATTATCTTTCTGTTTGTGATTACCTACCAGGTGGAACTCCAGTATTTGCATGACTATGCTGGGATAAGCTCAAGCATTGGATTGACTGCAAATCCAATAGTTAACTTCTCAGGTGTTTTTGGAACTAATGTTCTTGCACTTGGTACGGATCTCTCATTTGACACGAAGACTGGGAACTTCACCAAATGCAATGCTGCATTGAGCTTCTCCAATGTAGATCTCATTGCTTCAGTGGCTCTGTATGTAATCTGTTCTGTGTAACTGTCTGTAGGTGCCTGATTTGTACAAGTATATATGCTTCAGTTATTAATATTTTTCTTATTTATTGATGCAGGAATGAAAAGGGTGACTCTCTTAATGCATCCTACTATCATATAGTGAATCCCTTCACTAACACTGCCGTTGGTGCTGAGGTGACCCATTGCTTCTCAACTAATGAGAATACCATCACAGTTGGGACACAACATGCATTGGATCCATTGACCATGGTTAAGGCACGGGTGAACAATGCTGGTAAGGCAAGTGCTCTCATCCAGCACGAGTGGCGCCCTAGATCTCTCTTTACCGTTTCTGGAGAGGTAGATACCAAGTCCATTGACAAGAGTGCCAAGGTTGGACTTGCTTTGGCACTGAAGCCTTGAGCTTTATAGCTCATTTTGGAAGAGCATGGTAGGCTTAGAATTTTGCAGTGTAGTCTGTTCAGACTGACTTTCATGGTGTTGCCATCTACTCTTCATGTCAGTGGATTTTCGTTGTAAAAATAAAAAAGAAAAAGAAATAGAGGTGGCATAGTGGTTTAAACTATGTGGTTACTTTTTTAATCATCCCTTGTTTAACTCATGGAGTACCTGAGTTTTGAGTTGCCAACTTTGGTCCAGATTTTGTGTGGCTCCCTTTGTTTGGTTCTCTAGCTTTCCCTTCCACCCCGTTAAAGTCTTTCAGTACGTAGTATTGTGAGCACCATACAGTTTTTCTTGATAATATTTCATGAAATGGGGTTAAGAAAAGAAAAACAGAATATGACCCGTATATCTATCTCCTTAGTTGATATTACGAGGTACCATACAAACAGCAATTACATTCATATTTCTAAACAGAGGAACTGGGTGCAGATTTCACTCAAAACCCCCAAGGATAGCCGGTAAAGCTTGGCTATCCGTTAGATGACTTCCCAGGTATTGACGTAATCTTAACATAACAGTAGCTTGTTGCTTATGAAACTCAACCATATAAGGCTTTTATTCATGATGGTGAGATGCCTGGAGCAACCCATCTCGGATCTGGGTTGCAATGTCTCGAACTGCACCAGGTCCATGTGGGATAAACACTGATGAAGATTTAGAGGCAGCCCCAATTTCCTTCATGGTATCAAAATACTGGGTAATGAGGACCATGTCTAAAACATCCTTAGCAGTAGTCCCTGGAACATTGACCGAGAAGCCAAGCACACTGTCCCTTAGGCCATCAACAATTGCCTGGCGCTGCCTGGCAATACCAACTCCTGATAGATATTTGGATTCTGCCTCTCCCTCTGCCCTCTTAATCTGTATAATCTTCTCGGCCTCTGCTTTCTCGTTGGCTGCAACTCTCATCCTTGCAGCTGTGAAAAATTAGGAATAACAAACACCAAATGAAACAACTACACGTCACAGTAAAAATTCTATCATTATAATTTGCGTAACTTGATTGAAAGACCAAATTGCGGACAATAACTCACCAGCATTAATTTCGTTCATTGCCCTTTTCACATGTTCATCCGGTTCTATATCAACAATGAGGGTCTGGACAATCTCATACCCATAAGCAGACATAGCCTATCAATCACAAAAAATCACAGTGCTTATCAACAAAGTTGATATGGACATCAAGAATTCATAGCCGGTATTAACAGAAGTAAATGCTTTTACCTTTTCAAGCTCATCTTCAACTGCTTTAGCAATATCATTCTTTTGCTCAAAAGCATCATCCAAATCAAGCTTTGGAACGCTTGCCCTGATAACTAAAGATTAACAAAGGAAAGAGGAAAATTGAAGTTTAGTTTCTTGGTACCATTCGGCAACAAACTAGTTATATTAAGGTTTTGATTATACCATCAAAAACATAGGCTTGAATTTGTGTCCTGGGGTTGCTAAGTTTGTAGAAAGCATCGTACGCCTTCTCTGCCAGGGCACGATATTGTACAGATGCAACAACGTTGACAAAAACATTGTCCTGCAAGAGCCATTGTGAATCAAAATCGAATGATATGGACAAGTTGCGTAGTGGTATTTTATCTAGTCTGGAAATTGATAACATCATGTAAGCCAAGAGGTAGACCGGCCGGCTTGGAAGGAATTTTTCTGCTTAGTTTAACAAGAAACAAACCTTTGTCTTAGTCTCACAACGCACATCTAGCTGCTGCAACCGGAGTGTGAGATGGCCGGCAAGCTGGCTTCCGAGACACCAAGGTAAACAATGGCATCCTGGTTGAAGAACTTCATCAAACTTCCCAAAACTTTCCTTGATAGCAACTGTTGATTGGTCAACTTGTACACTGCAAAATAGGTTGCCCATCCGTTTTATATCTTTTTGCTATTCTATATGATCTTTTCCTATGGAGAAACAACATAAAAAGAAAGGAAGAAAGTAAGAAACCATCAGAACAGAAACAAAGAAATATATAGAGAGAAAACAAATTTCTGGTATAAAATCCACAAAATTCATGTAGCAGCATTCTCAAGTTTGACACCCCGTCACCTGAGCACTTGGAGAGCAAAAAGTTTCCTGTTGGTTTGGCCAAGAAGCCAAATTTATAGTCTAGTTTATATTGATTGAAACCAAAGGTTTATTTGCTGGACCAACAACCAATCTTGAAGATAGGTCACCAGATGCAAATTCTATGTGGTTAGACTTAGAAGGAGGAGATTATAGTGAAGTATTAACACCAACGAGTAACCCAGCATTAATGGAAAAGCAGAAGGATAAAAAAGGTCTTTAGAAGATAAGCATCCTAAAGCAAAATGCTGCCAAAAGCTTCTGACAAAGATCAAGCATCCTTCAGCTTCTTTTGGCAAAAATACCAAGATAAACATAAGATTAAATTCGGCCTCAAATGAAACAATTAGACTTGGGCACTTGGCCATGACTTGATTCAGCAGAAACACATTCCAGACTTCAGAATTTGAAATTATTTTCAATTAATCACACCAAAAGAAAAAACCAACAAGGGCGCCTGCACTGCACATACAAGCACATATGCTGAACCACCGAGAGAGAGAGAGAGAGAGAGAGAGAACATACCACCAGGGGTAGTTTGAAGGGAAAGGAAAACAAGGATGATATAAATAATGGCATAGATACAGCCGGATAAATCTGCTAACCGTATTTCTTTAAAGAATGCAATTCACTAAAATTCTTATTTTAATTTTTTTTTTAAATCCTATGTTTAGATTCATCGATTTTATTTGTCAAGTTTCCAACTAATGAAAGTCAGCAGACAATGCCCTCTTATTTAATGTAATACCATTTGCTGCCACTCACTATTATGCTTTGGATGCATAAAAGTCAATAATTGGATTAATTAGTGAGTATATGTACTTGTCAATGGATGTTGATATACTTAGTATCAGCTCAAAAACAAAAAAACGAAGAGGGAATCAATGTATATAACTCTTCGCTAATCATGACATCCTTTGTATTTTCAGTAAGTTCTTATCACATCGAACATTGGGTTTCACGCAATCTGTTTTTCTCATTTATTTAACATATAAATTTGTCCATTTGAACAGAGAAAAAAAATAAAAAAAAAATAGACACCAATTAAATTTTAGCTCTTAAGGTAAATCAGATTTCATAAACAAATAGATAATGGCTTTCTTAAAACACAAGGACAAGGAAGAAAGAGAGAGAGGGTGGACATTGCAAAGAAGATTACACTTTAAACTAAAATGTTGCTTGCAATTATATGCCACAATATTCTATGTTTTACTTACCAACAACCCATTTCTTAGTCATCATGCGAAAGAAACTTGTGCTTATTGTCTCAATTTTAGCTACCGATCTGTTTACTAGAGACCAAACGTTTTACCAAGTCAATGAATCAAAAGCCTATGCTCCCTCTAGTGCTGAGTAGCATGGGCCTGCAGAAGCCGGCCTGCAGAAGCCCCTCTCGAATCTGTGATGATATGTCCTTGACTGCACCACGTCCATGTGGAATGAAAACAGAAGACTTTGAAGATGTACCAATCTCCTCCATGGTGTCGAAGTATTAAGTCACCAGCACCATATCCATGACATCTTGGGCTGTTGTTCCTGGAACATTCTCAGAAAAGGCCAGCACGCTATCCCTCAGTCCATCCACAATTGCCTGGCGCTGACGAGCTATGCCAAGTCCTGACAAGTACTTTGACTCTGCATCTCCTTCAGCTCGTTTGATCTGCTGTCTGTTCTCTGCTTCAGCCTTTTCATTTGCCGCCATCCTCAATCTAGCAGCTATTGTGACAGTTAAGGGAAAAAAGAATCAATACTCAAACGATGGGATAGCGCATGGACTTTCACCAAAAAGCAGCAAACACATTGATATATTATGGACTTCAATAGTATACTATTCATTAATAAGAAACAAGGCTTAAGTAGACAGAAATCTGCACATGGAAAAACATATGGGCTAATCTTGTTCCTCTTAAAATCAAAGTGTTTATGTGGCAGCCACTCCAAGGAAGAGTGGCTGTCAAGGATGAACTTGCGATACGGGGATTGATGAGAAACAATGCAGCATTTTGCCCCCTTTGCCATCGGGTTCCTGAAACAATTAATCACCTTTTTTTTAACTGTTTTGAGTCATGGTATATTCGGACTAGGTGGTGTAGGGATTGGACATTATTTGGGTGCAACCTAAAGACATGGCTACGTTATTTACTGCTTGGAATGCGGTGGTCACAAAGGAAGGAGAAATTCAAGTCTGGAAAATGGCAATGTACGCTATGGTTTGGTCACTATGGCTAGCTAGAAATGATGTTGTGTTTGAGGGCAAACCATGGGATCATGACCAGCTCTATCAGTTGATCAAACTGCGTGTGGCTACATGGACTAAAGCCAAGTGGCCAAGGGAGTACGGGAGGATACTAGACACATTTGTTGAACCAAGTATTGGAGCTGCTATAAAAAATGTTAAGAAGGCCAGACCAGTGACTGAGTGGGAAAAACCTACTGATAGAATTATGAAATTGAACGGCGATGGGGCTGCAAGTGGAATCACAAATGAAGCTGGAATTGCTGTGTTACTAAGGAATTCCAAGGGAGAAATTAGAATGATGTTTTCGAAGTCCATAGGGGTGGGGGACTCAAGTCTAGCTAAAGTTCTCGCTATCCGGGAAGTGTGCGATTCTCACAAGCTGTTAGTGGAGAGCGACTCACTGAATGCCGTGAAATGAGTGCAGGAGCCAAAATCAGCTCCATGGAGGTTAAGGAAATGGGTGCTCCATATTGAAGCCCTAAAAACGACAGCAAATTAGGCAATCAAGCATGTAAGAAGGGAGGCCAACCAACATGCTGATAACCTTGCAAAATCTGGAATAGGTAGGGAGATTGATCTGCTCAATATTTGGGTGGATGAACCTAACAGAAAAGAGAGAACAAGAGATATGGCAATCAATTGCAAATGAACCGTGAACCGTGAACCGTGAGTTTGAGTAGGTCTGTTCCTCTTTTTTTTTTTTTTGAAAGATGAGTGTTTATTAATGATAAGCTGAAATGCCTGTGGAGTCTTCAACGTTGAGATTTGGAGACTCCTGTTGGCATGCAAGCTATCATAAGAAGAGCCTGTTCTGAAAAATTACAAAAGGAGCAGCTGCTCAAAGAGCACTTGGCAGCATCTCAACACAGATAATCTTAAAAACAAGCAGAGTTCTGGATAAATCCATAAACAAAAGTATAATACTAGTGAAGCTCTATCAGAGTGATAGATAAATGAGTGTTTTTGGGGTTGACAGTCCTCAATCATCACAGCACCAGCCACCAAGTCTTACAAACCAAGCATCACTGATCACACACAGCCCCATAACTCCCAGATTCCCCAGGTGGCTGCATCAGAAAAGAGCCCCTGAGCCATAAAATCCCACAATCAATAGGTGCTCTTCAAAGACAACCATCAGCATCTCCTGCACATCTCAAAGACCAGAGTCCACCACTCACACCCATGAATCACAAACAACAGTAGTAGTCAATGTCACCAGAACCTCATCATGGCCAAAAAGTAGAACATCATCCAAGAGCCCCCTCTAGAGAACGCAAAGAATAGACACAGAGCTTCCCACCAACATCTAAAACACAGTCAGAGATAACTTTTTAACCGACACAGCAGTACCACAGATACACAATGACACAAACAAGAAGTAGAGGCCACACGTAGCTTCCTCCTGATCGATTAAGTTCCTTTTCTCTATCTCTTGCTCGACGGCCACCCTCTCATGCTGCACCGCAGAGTGCACCAGACCCAGATAAGAATCAATGCACGTCAGAACCCAAACACAAGAAATTAGTCATAGACATTCAACAAGTCAGCCTGACCCTGCACCGCTCCCTTGGCAAGGCTATCAGCAATTGATTAGTTTCTCTGTAGATGTGTTTAATGTCCCATTTCTTAACCTCCTTCTTCAACCTTTCCATAGTGCAGGATCCACTTCTAAGCCTCCCAAGAGCATCAGATGGGTTGTTAGTCCATTTGACAGCATTTTTTGAGTCACTTTCAATAAACAAGAGTGAGAGTGGCAGCCCATTTAGAACCAGCAAAGGTCAAGAAGCTCCCTAATTGCTCTGACTTCTGCACACGAGCATCTTCTACTCCTATAGCTTTTGAGAAGACAATTTTAATGTTTCCCTCTTCATCTCTCATAATGGCCCAATCCCTGCCTCCCCAGGGCATCCTTTAGCTGCCCCATCCACATATATATTCATCTCCCCTTCGTACGGCTTGCTCCACTCCTTCACAATTCTGGATCTCTTCCCTTCTTTTAACTTTTGCACCCTCAGCTGGATATCTATAAGTATCTAACTACGCCATACTCAAAGGGGCCACTTAGCTTGAGCCCATGTGGCAATCTGAGTTTAACTAAATCAAAACCGGTAGCACACCAAGTAACTCTTCTAAAGACCGTATCATTTCTATATAGCACACTGACCACAAAATAGATAAAAGGACCGCAGCAGATTTAATCTCCCCTTTCCCTGCGAAACCAGTATTCCAAGTATTAAACGAGTTGATTAAATCCTTTGGGACAACCCAAGTAACCTCCCATTCTCTACACCATCTCATCCACACTTGCCAGACCTCAGGACAATGGAGGAACAGGTGTCTCCGTTCAGGTTCCCTCTTACAAAGCCCACACTCAGCTCCCTCCTGGTCAATTAAGTTCCTTTCACTAGCTCCTGCTTGACGGCAACTCTCTCGTGCAGCACCTACCAACAAAATACTCAATACAGTGAGGCACTAGATTTTCCAAATATTTCTCCAAGTCTTATCCTCCCCACAATCCTTCAGGAGAACTGTTTACAAAAGGATTTAACACTGTAATTCCCTATGGCCGATCCTTTCCATGCCACGGTGTCTTTTAGTTCCCTACAAAGGTGGAACTCCTCAATAGTGGCTTTAAGCTCCAGCCACTGATGTTCTTCCCATCCTAAAGGCCTCCTTCTTAGTTCCACTTCCCATGACCATCTATCATCTTCCCAAATACCGAACTCTCCAACAAAACCTTCTTTATTTTTAGTAGGGATGATTATGATGGTGTTGCTCAAGATGGGGCGTCCCTACATGGTTAACGGGTAATGGTAGTGCTATTGGTTGGTCTTTCTTTGCATGATTATTGTGGTGTCTGTTGATGCAGGGGACTGTTTCAATGTTAGGGGTTATCTTTTCATTTTGTTCATTCTATGAGGGTGTTTTTTGGATGCAAGTGGCTACCAGATGTTAGTGGGGTTGGCTGCTTTCGTTGTTGGTGTTTGGGGTGGTTTCCTTTCTGAAAGTGTCCAGGGAATTCGACAATGAGAGAATTTTGTAATGGTATACCCCTGGTCATTGGGGCATAACTTTGCAAAATTGTTGTAAGTCGTGAACTCAAGTTCTCCCTTTCTTCAATTCAAAAGAAATTTCAGAAAAAAAGGTATACAGAAACCAGACCACTTTTGTTAACAAATGGTTCAACCCTCCAGCATATAAATTTCATTCAAGGGAGCATTAGTATTACCTGCATTTATCTCATTCATTGCTTTCTTCAGTTTAACATCAGGCTCTATATCCACAGTTAGTGTCTGTACTATTTCATAACCGTGGGCAGGCATGGCCTGCAAAAGGAAGAATGAACAATGAACAATGGTTGTACTAATAGGTGTAATGGATCATTATATTCATTACTGATCAAACTAATACATTACC